GGAATCTCTTTCAATAAGACGTTAGTGATGTTGATTATATACATTGAGATTGGGATTGAATGCCACGCTGTAGGTGCTAGGAAGTGTTACGGATCGCTGTTGTGTACAACAAAACAGCTAGCTAGTTTGGAGTCAGCAGACCTAGGCAGATAATAAGTATCTTGGCCTTTCCCATAAAGGATCATTTTGAGGCCGTGATTCTGTATAACTGTTCTCTTGCTCCCTCTCTTCTATGTAGGCTTCCACATCATCTTCCTCCCATACGCAGATGACAAGCGGAAAGTTGATTTTACAGTAAAGGTGCCAGCCAGTCGAGAGCAGGTGGACAAAATGAAGGAAATAGTTCAAAAACTCCGTTTCAAATACAGGTATATGGAGATAAATAGCATGCAGGGGGTAGCATGGGGAAGAAAGCACAATGCTGTTTGCTCTTTTGCACACATTGGTCAGCTGTGGTGTCCACGAGATGAGACTTTGGTGTATTTTGATGCAAATTGCTTCCCTTTGCAATAGCTTTGTCCAAACTTTATTCTTAATAATTTTGAATACCCAGGCACCACATGCTTTATGTAGCACGTTCTGGAGCTCTTTACAGTATTGCCCTTGTTGTCTGGGCTGTTGTCATTTGTTGCAGAGGTTTCGCATTTTATTGTGGTTCTGCCAATCTATTGCAGATCAGATTGGGATTGTTTAAATTAGAGCACGTTAGAGGGAATAGTTGGGCCTTTTTCATTATAGCAAGGATACTTTTTATGAAGTGCTCTTATGGGAGATCCTTTCCTAGGTATGTGGAAAGTAGTATAGCTGTTATTAAAGTCTTCATTTCTCCACTGTCTCCATTTCTCTCACACAGCTTTCTAATGGGGTTGATGCATGACAGGATAGTGATTCAGCAGGTAAATTGAAAAGAGAAAAAGCAGTTCTGATGAGATGGATTGTCGGAGGAGAAAGAGGGTAGTTTTACTTGAAAGAAGTTGGGGGTAGATCTTACATGTCTGTCTTCTTGGCTGCATGCATTGATGTTTTGGGGGGTTCTTGACAGGACTGACAGCTTTGAGAACCCAGTTTTGCAGCAGCACTTCAGGAATCTGGAGGCTTTGGCACTGGATATGCTCGAACCAGAACAAGCTGAGGATCTTACAAGTGAGAATTATTGGTGGATGCAAAGGGAGGTGGGGCAGAAAGCTCTTGGCTTAGTTTGAAGTCAGAGATGTGCTACTAGAAACCCAAAGTCTTTTAAAAATACTTCAGTTGTGTGCAGTTTCAAGATGTAGAATTCTGTATGTGTCCGTTCTGAAACATTGAAACCTTACTTTCTAATGCTGTCACTTTCAAGATAAAGGAAAAATTGTTCACTTTACCCTCCAAAATTAAATTTGAATCACCTTTTTTCTATGGTGACAAGATTTTTTTCATAAATTCCTTTCTTCAAGAATCTAATTAATATTTCAGTCTGATAAATGGACAGAACTACTGAGAGAATTATTGTGGAGGAGGCAGTGATGCCACCTTGTGGCTGTGAGAGTTCCTAGGTAAGAGTGTCTTGTTAAAGGTTAGAAACCTATTCTTGAAGGAGAAATTCCTTTTTTAAAACGATGTTGTACTCCAGCAACAGTGTTAGAGTAACTACTTGTCTCTTCTGAAGGACACCTAACAAATTATCTAGGTTTCTGGCAAGATATCATACCAATACATGACAGAAACAAGCTGGTTTGCCTCAAACTACTTGCAACCTTAGATAGTAACCTGTTGTATTCTAAATATTTAAGATAAGACCTGGGTAGCAGTGTAGGCAAGTGGGAGATTTTTTATGACACTTCCAGCTTGTCAGTGTCAGTTTTGTTCTATGTATGTATGTCTTATTCAGGAAATGTGCGAGTCCATTACATAACATATGATACAGATTTTTGGTATTATCAAAAGCTGTACATTTCTCATCTGTGGGTATCATAACATAGGTCTTTGCATTTCACATGCTTGCAAGACGCTTGCTAGTTATTACAGAGACACAATTGTATTGGTGATAGAATCATAGAATCACAGAATGGTTAGGATTGTAAGGGACCTTAAAGCTCATCCAGTTCTAACCCCCTTCCAGTAGACCAGGTTGCTCCAAACCCCATTCAACCTGGCCTTGAACACTGCCAGGGATGGGGTATGATGGCCTTGTTTAGAATTTCCTGTCATCACTATATTTTTTGAGAGGGCAAACCTTTCTCTTTTACCAGTGCCAAAGGTTGAAGAGATGAACCGCAGGTTGGGCAACCTGGTGGAGGAGTTTAAGGAGCTGGTTTATCCCCCTGACTACAATCCCAATGGGAAGGCTGTAAAGCAAAACCAAGGTAAGTGATGGTGATGCAGACACACAACACGATGTCTGTATGTTGTTTAGAAGCCTGAAGTTTCAAGTTCATCTCATAGTTTAAAGAAGCCACTTGTGTGACAGCCTTCCTACTCCTCTTCACAAGGAAGTGGATTTATACCCAGTAGTGATTCTCAGGGAGTAGAGGAGATTCCAGTATCCAGTTGGAGAGCTGCTGGAATGAGAAAGTGCATAGTGAAGTATTGGAAGCAATGTGGGTAAATGATTGAAATTTTTTATTTTATTTTAATTTTGGGGGTGTTTTTTTTTTTTGTGCCAGAGTAATAAAATTGTTCATGCTTTCGGTTTGTGTTGGTGAGGAAGCAGACTTTTATGCATGGGCTGTTTAGTGAGTCCAGGATGAGCATCTTTAGGGCTGAATGGCTAAGTAATGCTGAAGTACGTGCGTAGTCTGGGAGTCTATGAAACTGCATGAAGTGGGAGTGTCAGTTAGCTGAGCTCTCGGTGGAAGCATTGCATTCTGCTGTCTCAATGAGAATCCCTTAAAAGTTTCATTTTGGGGTGATCTTTCCATCAGGACACAAAGTTTCATACTTGTTTGAAATTACTCCTATCAGTGAAAAGCTACATGACTTGCGTAGTGAGTGACACCTGCTTCTTAAAACAAAATGTGGAAACTAGGTCTGTGAGCTGTTAAAGTACCATGTGCTAACTGCCATTAACAGTGTTGTGTATAAGAAACACTGATGTCTTTCTATGAAGCGACTTTAAAATCTTGGTGATCTAAAATTTCTAGCTTCTGATGGTCCAGCAAAGAAGAGGCTCAAGGTAGAAATCTCAAAAGATGAGCTGCGGAGTCATGTACAGGAGGGCACTCTGGGCAAGTTCACTGTACCTGTTCTGAAGGATGCATGCAAGCTTTATGGGCTGAAGGGTGGGGGGAAGAAGCAGGAGCTCATGGATGCATTAACGGAATACTTTAATGGCATTAAGCAGGAGTGAAAGGCCCTGGTTGACTTCAGTCTAAGATTGTGGTTGTCTAATGTGGATGCTTATGTGTCTGTTTAATCTTGCTGAGGAGAAGGCGACTAAATGTTGCTGAACCAGGCAGTGGAGAAATTTTTTACTCTTAGTTGTGAAATATCTCTGCAAAATTGGATTCTGTTCACAATAGCCAAAGGCAGAATTAAAGTCCCTGCTAACTCAGGTCCCCCATTGCAAGTGAACAGAGTTGTGCCTTCCTTGTGTCTCAATAAAAGTTATTTTGGACTTCTTACTTTGCAACACTGGCTATACCATCTTTGCATCATAACAACAGCAAAACTTGGCGTTTTCAGAGTTCAGTGTGAGTAAGAAGAAAGAATGATTTGTGTTAATGGCCCCCCATGAGTTCAAGCAGCCAGTCAAGTATGTGTGCTAACAGACGGTTTAGATGGGGTGTGTTACTCTCCTACTCTCCAAAACAACCAGTCAGTATCAGTACTTGTAATCAGATCGGGTTGTCTTCCACCATTGGCATTACAAAAATTACCAGCAGATCATAAAGTAGAAAATCATTATGGGAAGCGGTTGCCCATTGTTTGGACAACAAGCCAGCACTTCATGAAGCTGCACAGCCAGGTTTTCCATTTTTAAATTTGCAATAGCAAAAGCTGGTTTTAAAAAGGGGGGAAATCATATTCCCTGGAAGGCTGCAAGCACTTACCCCAGTTAAGTTACTTAGATGGCACAGAGCTTTTTACCTCTGCAGCGAGTCATATGATTGCGCAGGCCTCTGTACTCAGATCTGTGCTTTAAAAACAGAAAAATGGCAAGCTGTAGAGAGTAGCTCTTGTTATCTCCAGTTGATTTTTGTTTTTGTAATCATACTTATGGAAGCTGCACATGGGGCTATGTTTTGGTTTTTGAACTTCCACCCATGGCATGCTCCACATGTCTTGTGGTGCAAGATGACTAAAACCAAGTCACTGATCTTGCTCTAGAAAACACTACTAATTGTTTAGCTGAACTGTAAATTTCTACAGGATGCAGACATGGGATACATGAGGTGTCGTTTTGGTCTGTGTAGGGTCAGTGTTCTGGGATTCCTGTTTGGCACAGAAACTATTAGGCAGCGTATTAGAGAATTAAGCCATGTATTAAGGTTGTGCCAGTGCTGTAGTGTGTGGCACATGTATCGGAGCCAGCTCTGAACCACTCACAGCCCTTGCACTGTGATCACCCTAGCTGTGCCAGCATGCTGCTCACTTCCACTGCCACAGCTCCTCTCCAAAGAGCAGGTGGCCCCCATTGAGCTCTGCAGCACTGGAGCTATGCATAGTGCATTCTACTTCCAATCATCCTGCATTATAGTAGTTATTTTTAATAAAAATCTGTCTAAGCAATCGATTCCTTTGCTGAAGGGCAAAGGAAGTTACTAGAAACACTTGTCGTAGCAAGACTTGAAGGCAATAAAACAGCGAGTGTCCTGGCCTTAATTCTGTGAATTTTCATTCCCCAACTGCCCATGTTAACTCTTGGCTTGCTAACCCCCAGGCACAGCATGTTCCAGGTTTTGGATGATTGTGGCATGTTTGTTCTACATTATTAGATCTTCCTCCTGGCTTTTTGTGTGTGTGTTAACAGCATAAAGCAGAATTTTAAAAGGGAAGGCTGCAGAGCAGAAAACTGGACCATCTTGCTTGCTCAAGAATCCTTTATTTCTGCTGCTCATGTGCTTTGTCTTACATCAGCTGTCTTGGCAGGGTACAGTAGGATAAATCCTTTGCAAAGTTGTGGTTTTAAGCACTAGTTCAACAGTCAGCATCAGCAGAAGGAACAGCAGCCTTTCTAAACCTCATACACATGAAAAGGCTCCAAAATCTTTGCATTAAGTTCACCTAGCAAGGATATTACTGTTACCCGCCATTTACAAAGATACATAGGCATGATTTGTTTTCAGTCTTTCATGAGCTGATTTCATCAGCTTGGGATGTATTTAATAAAGTTATGAAGTTACTGCCTCTACGGAAATGTTACAGAACTTATTTTCCCTTCTGCTATTGTACCTATTGGTCTTTCCACACAAGCTTTAGGACCCTGCAGTAGAAGGCAGGTTTGATAGGATCTGTTTCAACACAGAGGTTCAACTTTTCTCCTTAGAGCAGTAAGTGGATTTTGTTGCATAATATGCATTTAACTAAAGGTAGCTCCACAAAACCACCGTTAATCCAGAAGGCAGGCGGTGCTTCGCACTTTTCCAGAGCATGGGATTATCTGGCATTCTCTTCCTAAAACACAAGTTAGCTGAGAAATTACTTGCTCTCTGTTGTCTCAGACCCATGACTTACAGGGTTCATCTTCAGTTGGGTGACTACAGTACAATAGCTGCCCTAAAAGCACAGTATCTTTTATGGCCACACGTAGGGTACTTGTCAGCCACAGCAGGCTCCTCTCTGCCATGTTTTGTACTTGAATTCCCCAGGAAGCCCAAACTTGTTGATACTGTCCAAGAGAAAACCCCATCAAACTGAAGGAGCATGAGATACTGCACTGCAATAGCCCTTAGGCAATCTCTGAGCAGTTGAGCTTTACAAGTAGGAACACATCAGTTGCAAATGCTTCCCCAAGGGAATAACAGTAATGTTCAGCTTTGTCAGCAATTTTATTTTTCTTAAAAAGTCAATATTTAAAAATAAGTGAAATAAAGGGATTTCCTCCTGTGCACTGCCATATGATTTCTGCTCCCCATACACCTCTTACAGCAGTCTCTTGCCTGGCTTCAAGAAGGGTTGTGCTAGGTGTACTGATCTTGGCTCTGTCCACTGCTACACAGTAGCCACTGCTCCCCTTAACACCTGGTGTACACTGCTCCATGGCATAAAGCAACAGCTCCACAGGGAACTAAACCAACACACCTTGTCTTCAGGCTAAACCCGTCAGAGTCAGGTACTCATGCCTTGCTAGAGGCTGAAGCTTAGCAGAAGTACTGCAACCCAGAGGAAGCTAATGGGTGGGTTAAAAAAAGCCCTGAGCAGGCAGATGTGGAGATAAAGAAAGGATTTTTTTCCCCGTTTTAAACATCAAACTGAAAATACAGTTGTACAATTGCTTTTCAAGAAGTAATACAATGAGTATGTTGGAATAATGGAAAGGGCTGGGGAGAAGAGGAAGAAACACTAAGAATTAAGCCTTATTAAACAAAAAATATGGCATTTTGAAATGAAACACTGATATCAAAACTATGATCTCAACCGAAGGTAGACATCAATTCCCTCAACTCCAACTTTCCTATTCCACACAGTTAAACTCATGGGCATTTACACCAACAGTCTTTCTATAGCTTGCTGGACAGATTGGATCTGAGGCTTTAGCTGTGATCCTTCCTTGATGGTGATGGAGCAGGCAATGACAGGCCGGGAAACACCGCATGCCCGGCCAAGGGCTTGCTTGGAGCGCACAAACACGTAAGGTACGTTCTTGTCCTCGCAGAGAAGAGGAAGGTGCAGAATGATCTCCAAGGGCTCCGCATCTGCTGCCATCACAATGAACTCTGCGATCCCTCGGTTCAATGTTTTGGTGGCTGTAAAAGAGACTGAAGAGTAAGTGTAGGTCCTTCTGGAAAGCACATGTAGTGAAAAATAACTTCAGAAGATGCAGGAATTGGAAAGAGCAAGGAGATCTAATGCTACCATAAGGCCAGGCCAGAGGAAAGTGGCAGCTGTAGGGCCAAGGTGGGTTGTTTGGCCTGGAGAAGAGGGGGCTGAGGTGGGAGCAAGGGGGACATAGCTGCTGTCTTCAACTACTTCAAGGGGACTGCAGAGAAGACAAAGCCTGACTGTCCTCACAAGTGCACAGTAAAAAGGACAAGTTGCAGACAGCTGCCTGAAGATGATTCTGGCAACATGCTGAAATTTTATATTCAGACACACCTCCATGGGGGTTTAAGCCATGGAAAATGGGTCCCAAGAGATTGTTTCTATCCATAGGGATTGCTGTTTTAAAAGTCTAGACAAAACCCCGAGCAGCCTGATCCAACTGTGAAGGGAGCCACTTTCTGTGCAGGCTGCACCAGAGGTACCCTCAAACCCAGATCTTTCTTATGATTCTGAACCGGCCAAGCATCTAGTAATCCCAGTGCCACACACTGAAGTACCCATGACCACAGGACACACACCAGGAACACAGCCTGGGCATCTACCAGAACTGCATATAAGTGCTGAAGAGATTTCAGCTTAGTTCTGTCCCAGAATATTGCTTAAGTGTGACAGAAGGACAAGGAAGGAGACAGACACTTGGAAGAGCCAGACCTATATAAAAGTTAGGGGTCCACAGCTAGAGAGAAAAGACGCTCTCTAGCCACAACTTCTTGCAAAATCCTCGAGATGATTTCCAGCACACTTTGCAACACATGGGTCTCACCTTCATTGGCTCCCTTGCGTAACTGCTTGTAGTTGCAGGATTGCTGCACAAGATCCAGGAGTGTTTTGGTGAGCTGTGCATCGGCCAGCGGGTAAGCTTTGGGGTTCACTTCTGCTTCACTCTATAGAAAGGAAAAAGTAGAGTTACATTAGGAGCAAAAGGGGCCTTGCTTGGAACAACACTACATAGGCATTGTGTCCACCACATACATTGACTCCTGGAGTCACATCGCTATTCTCATCTGTTGTGTGCATACGTTAAAAATCCCACTGCATTTTATTTCTAAAGAGGAATTTCTCTGGGATTCCAAGTTAACAGTGTCTTTATCCACACAGCCAGCTTACACCTCATAAACTAGCAGCAGTGAACATAACTGCAGGGCAGTCACCAGGCATTTACTACTACAGATACTATATAAAATGAAGCATTTCAGTGCACAAATTAACAAGCTCGGGCAGGAATGTTAAGGAAATCCCGAGAGAGCACATACCGGGTTGATTTCTGCCAATTACACGTCTGTTAACACAACATCCATGGCGCAGCGGAAAGACAACGAGGCCACAGGCGGCATTAACGCCCGGCACTGCCGGAACGGCAACCTCTCAGCTCCCAGCACCCCCTGCCCCCCACGCGGCTGCCGCCCTGCCCGCCCGCCGAGCCCATGCTCCCGCCCGCCGGGTGCCCCAGCACCGCCAGCCCCCCTCAACCCTCCGGCTTCCTCCTTGCGGGGAGACCCGCACCCAGCCGCGGCCTCCACGTGCTCGCGGCCCCGCAGCCGAGGACGCGCCGTCCTTCTCCCCGCGCCCCGGCACCCCGGCGCGGCTCCCCCGGAGCAGGATAACAAGGCGGAGGCCGGCGCCGGGCCCCACTCACCATGGCCGCGGCCTGGGCGGTGCAGCACGGCGCGGCACGGCACGATCGCTCCTCTCGGCCTGAGCGCGAGGAGCGGAAGCGGAGCGGCGCCGCCGGAAGCCGGGGGGGCGGGGCGAGGCGAGCGGGATGTGATCCGCTGTACGCCGGTTGCTCCCCGCAGCCGTGAGCGCGGCTGTAACACCCGGTACCGCCGGCGGCGCTGCGGAGCCCCGCCGAGCCACGCTCAGCCCTCCAGGGCCGCTAACCGGGCCCCGCCGGCAGCGGCGGCGCGCTGAGGCGATGGCGGCGGGGTGCGCGCGGCCCGGCGGCGGTCACGGCCCTCGCTGGTCGCTGCCCCTCCGCCCGCCGCTCTGCCTCGCCTGCGCCGTGGAGACCCTGGGCGACGGCAGCGCCTCGGTGGGCAGCGGCCGCCCCGCCGCCGGGCGTTGCTGGCATGGGGCACCCCCTTTCCCTTCAGCAGCCGCCACTCGGCTGCCCCCTCTCCTGAGCCGAGTCTGAGGGTTGGACAAGTGTTGCCATGGCGCTAGGCCAGCGGTGTCACCGCGGCTCCCGGGCCCTGTGGCAGTCTCCTTGCCTCCCTCGGGGCGTGGTGTGGGAGCAGCGGGTGGCCCGGGCCCAGGCGCTGACGGGTGGTTGTCTCTTGCTCCGTAGCTGGTGCGCAAGAGGCACGTCCTCTCCCGTCTCCAAGATGCCCTGGCGTGGCAGGCGCTGGCGGTCATCCAGCTGCTGGCTCCCGACGAGAGGGTCTGCCTTCATTTGATAGGAGCGCTCTTTGGTAAGAGCTCTGCTGTGGCCTCATGCAGCAGCAGGGAGGCGGCTAAAGTCTGTTTTTGTGAGTAGGTACATACATGAGAAGCTTCTCCACATTTAGAAGTAAAAAGAACCCAAACCAAAAGAATATTGAGGTACCCAATTCTGTACTTCTACCATTCTGTGTTAGGTGTGTTACGAGCTGAATGTGGGAATCTACCCATCATTTGGTTTAGAATAGGTTAATTAATGTCCTTCTTCCCCAAGGAGCAGGGTTGGCATGTTCATAAAGCTCTTGCAGTTTTTCGAAGCATCTTGACGTTATCTGTAAAGTCTTTCTGAAGAACAGAGGGAGTGCCTGGTACATGGCTCTTCCCTAAATGCCCTCCATTCTGGTCTCACGCCTCAGTGCTCTCCTCCTACTGAGCTGTGGATTACATGAAGATCCACACAGAAATGAAAGTGTGAGCTTAAAAAGGTGTTGCAGGATTTAATATCAAATTAAATGCAAAATATAAATCTACATGGTAATGTTTTTGTTCACACCATCACTTCGTGTCTGTAGGAATCCTGGTAGCAGTAGGACTGCAATAGCTGCTTCCTTCTGCTGGTCAGCCCCCACAGCAGAGCAGCGTTCAGCGGGATACCAGAAAATGCCTTTCCAGTTACGGTCTCAGTGAGCTTGAGCGTCTCCTGCTGGTTTCTGTTTGCATAGCAGTGCTGTGGGAGCGGTCTTTGAAACGTTGTCCAAAATTTTGATGGAAAAGAAATAATGGTCTAAGTGAAGGAGCAGTAAGGAGGAAGAGAAAGGTGGAGGGTATGAATGTGAGTGCCTTCTAAGAGCAAATATACTGGATTCCTTTAATTCCACGATCTCATTTCTGCATCACAACTAATTCTTGTTCAGTGGAGGAAGTGACTTATAAGCCCCTTGCCCTGCCTTGATGCACTGAATAACTCAAACAGTGTTTTCCTGGTTGATTTCCCACCACAAAATGAGCTGTGCATGTTTTGGAAGCAGCTTTGTTAGAACTTTGTGCAGGTTTAGTTCTACCTGTTGCACAATTTTTGATTGAGTGCTGTCTGTGCACATAATCCTGCACAGATGTAGAGGGTTTATGGCCAATTCAGTCCTATGCTGTATGACCCTAACACGAAATACCCCAGAAGCTGTGCTTGCATTTCAATACTCTTGTTTGCTTTTAAGTATTAATTGTCTCTCTCTTTGAGAAGCTTTACAATTGGATGGTTTGGGGACAGCTTTGGGATTTTACTATACTTGGTGTAACTCCTAGAGCAGTTGGAATCCCCACTGTAAGCTTGGAGCTGCAAACAACGATGTGTGTTTTAGACAGAGCTGAATTGAACCAAAGTTCGTTTGGTGCAAGAGCATAAGAGGGACCCTGTAAGGTTTAACCAATGCTGTGGAGGTATTGTTAATAGTAAATTCAGGAAAATACATTTGTTTCTGGAGAGAGAATATTGGAATAAGCACAAGCAGAAAAAGAGGGTTGAGAGAACAGGTGTAGTGCGGAGTGTTATGTATGAGAAGATGGTGAATTTCAGGTAAGCCTGGATTTCATGCAGCTGATATTGCAATGTTCACTAATGCTGCATGCAAATCCTTTCCAAAGTGAAAGGAAGTTACTGAGGACAGGGCAGATGAGACAGGGAATAAGTAATTTCATCTGTAGTGTCATAACATTGCTTTAGTTGGTCAAATTTCTGAGAGGTCATGAGGTCTCCAGGGGGAGGCAATTTGATTGGATATGTTGAAACAAGGGGTTTGGTGTGGCAAAAGTGGGGGTCTGAACCAGATGCCTGATGCTGTAAGTACCTGAAGTTGCAAGGAGTTGGGAGGCAGAGTTTCTCACCAGTTGTGGTGTAGTAGAGTGAGACAGTGGCTTATTTTAATATATCCAATTTTACGCTCTTTCAGTACAAATGAATTGTGAAGTGATGCCTTCGTGTTCAATTTATCATTGGAACAGTTTCCATATGCTTTAAACCTGATGTTCAAATTTGGTCTCAGGATTTTCAGTGCTGTGGAGGGAGAAGACTGTTCATGGTAGGACATATGAATGGAAGATTGAAAGGAAAACTCACAGCTGGGCTCAAACTCCTGTCATTCGGGAGTGTTGTTTCAGATGTATGATACTGGATACGTGCAGTGAGTCGTGGGGATGGTAGTAGCAGTTACATATTTACTTAGATAGGTGGAGCCATTGACTTCAACTCTAAAGTACATAAAAAATTAGCAAGGGAACCGTGTACCTTCATGCCCCTGCGTCCCTGAGAATATCCCCCCTCCTCTGACAAAGTCAGGCTGGTGTCATGTGAAGTGAGGAAAACAAAACTTTCTTTCTGATCCTGAAAACAGTCCACAGCAGTCTTTTTACATGAAGGCATTATGGCACCAATGATCACAAGCAGGAGTGAGTTCCCTGACTGATTGTGGCTTATCTTCTAGGGATGTTGCATACTGTGGAAGACAGCAGTGCCCTGGACCTGTTCATAGAAGGTGAGAGACAGATGCCACATCTCAGTTACTGGCAGTTTGTGAAGGAAAGCTCTGTCTTGTCTGATAATTACATTGAGATGCTCAGCTTCTACACAGCTTGAACTAGGACGATCATCTATTTTCTATTAACTCAGCAGTGATGAGCAGAATGTTCCAGGGGAGCGTGTGCATGTTCAAATACTTAGCATTTCTCTCATAGGTAGTGTGTGTGCCATGAATTTAGTGTCACATGGGTAACAGTGGCAAGCAATGCTTCATCTTTGAACCTAACTGAAGTCTGAAGTCAAATGTAAGTCTTCCCGTAGGCTTCAGTGAGCTTTGGGATCTACTGCTTTCTCTTGGGGTTTAGCTGTACAGGATGCAGATCTCCTGTTTGTGAGCAGTCCTTCATTTGAAATCTGAAGGAAATATCTGCAGGGCTGACAGAGGAATCTCTGCAGTCCAGTTTAAACTCGGGCATCTCTGCTGAATCTAGTCATATTAGCAATGCAGGGATTTCCTCCTTTCATCTTTCCTGGCTGGACAGGGGCTCCTTCCTTCCAGAGGGGTTTCAGGCACTTACTTGAAATGGTGCAGAATAGGTAAGAAGCCTTTCTGTCATGTTACCGATCTCTTGAGAGGTGGGTGCTCTCAAAGAGAGGCGTTTTAACTTAGTGTTAGCTGACTCTTGAAAGTTCTCAGAGATTCTGAGAATTCAGGGCAAGAAAGGGCCGATAAACCATATATAAATCACTTGTCAAGACATGCCTCTGTTGGGATGCTCTTTAGTTAAAGTAGGTCTTCTAGGTAAACCTCCAGTATTGCCCTGGATACATCAAGGGATGGTGAATCCAGCAGCCTCTAGTATTTCTTTTTATGATACTTTCCTAGAATACAAAACAAGAGTGTGTTTTGCAAATATATTATGCCATGACGACAAGATACATCCAGGAGAGCCTTACCAAATCCTATGGAACAACGTTCTGCATGGTGTCTCAGTAAGAGGCCTATTGTCAAAACTTTATCTGCTGAACCTTCAAATGCCCAGGTTCTAAAAACACCAGAAGAGGAACTCTGCTTCCTGAACTGGTCCCCTTGTATATGTGTGGAGGCAGAGGCAGCCTGCCAGCATCAGGCAATTCCCTCCTGATATAGTTAGGGAAACCCTGGGTAACGTGTAATCAGTGCCTGGTAAACAGAGTTTCTTGTTGATTCCTCTTACTAGGACAGAGCAGGCAGAGTTCTTGAAGTTGCAGTGAACCAAGAATAACAGCCTTTTCTTGAGGCTGAGGAGGTGAGCAGTACCACAAAGATGACTGGAGCTTTGCTTTCTGACAAAAGAAATTCTGGGGAGGAATGGCTGATAGACTGCACTGTTGCCTCAGGGGCAGTAGCAACAGGAGGAGGAGCTCTCAGTCTGCATCTAAGGATACTCAGCACTTTCAGTTCTGATATCTTTTTTGGAAAGAGATGTTTTTAATTTTCACACTGTAGGAAGTCTATTCAATTATCAGTTTGGGGTTGTTTTTGTTTTTTTTTTATACTTTTATGCTGGGGCTTTGTTTTCTTCCCTTCCTGGTTCCTTCCATTTACTTGGTATCTTGATGCTCACTTTGTCACTTGCAGTTCATTTCCATGGATGGTTTGTAGTACAGCTTGAACAGGACTGCTGGAATGTTGCTGCAGGGAGCTTGGGCTGGGCTATTAGAAGCAATAGGGATGGCAGTACCCTGTTCTCCCAGCAGCTCTGTGCTCATTTAGTGTCTAAGTTCTTTGTTCACTGATCTGCTAAAGCCCTGTGGAAGATGGATTGTGAGTGCTCTTGTGTGTGAATTACTGATCGTGTTCTTCTGCCT